TGTAATCTTTGAGAAAAGGATGTTGGTATCCTGTGTGGCTCTTATGCAGATATAGTTTCAGTTAGCTTCATCTGCATGTGAGTTCACAACATCAGACATTTGTTATTGAGTAGATTGACCAACAGGATGTGTGAGGTTTGAGTTCCTGGCCACATATTTCTGTATTTGTTACTTCAAAAGCAAGAGAAATACTTTCTTTGTGAAATACTTAGTTCTCAGTTACTCTTGGTTAGTCTCTTATAAGAGAGTAGAATTCTTCTCTTTATATTTCTGACTTTTAGGAATGGTTTTCTCAAGGAATTTGTAGTGGTGATCAAATTCCTGCATCTCTTTTCACTTTAAATTTCTTTTTATTTTTTTCCTTTCAGGGTTGTTTATGCAGCCCAGTGTATACCAGAATTCATTCCTGAAGAACAGACTGGCCTCAAATATGAGTTCGTTCTTCTCCATCTTGCCCAACCCTGGATCCACGTGTGTGCATCATACCACTTCTATTTAACCATTATCCCTTTTATTGATTTTATTTATTTATTAAAGATTTCTGCCTCCTCCGCGCCACCGCCTCCCATTTTCATCCCCCTCCCCCAATTAAGTCCCCCTCCCTCGTCAGCCCGAAGAGCAATCAGGGTTCCCTGCCCTGTGGGAAGTCCAAGGGCCACCCACCTCCATCCAGGTCTAGTAAGGTGAGCTAAATAAGAAGGTGAATCCAAAGAAAAACATATAGGCATCCTCCTGAATAATAACCTTCATCAGGCGATGAAAGGAGACAGAGACAGAGACCCACATTGGAGCACGGACAGAAATCTCAAAGTCCAAATCAAGAGCAGACGGAGAGAGAGCACGATCTAGGAACTCAGGACTGCGAGGGGTGCACCCACACACTGAGACAATGGGGATGTTCTATTGGGATCTCCCTTTAATTTTTAAGCTATAAAAGGTTCATTTCAATTAAGTTCCATCATTGTGGGTAAGTATCAGAGACAGTCGCTCAAGGCATTTTATCCACAGTTAATAATCACAACTCAAAGAACACATGCTTATTCTTAGATTGTTTTTTTTTCACTTTAATTTGAGGAACTTTTCTGATTAGGAAATGGTGTCACTCCCTAAATAGTAACCAGGTCTCTCACAACATCTAAAAACAAACAAACAAACAAACAAACAAACAAACACCAGGAAAATACGGTCCAGACATGCCCATGGGCCAACTCTTTGATTTAGAGAAACTCTCAAACTTTGTCTTGTAGTGATTGTGCATATAGATTAGATTTTAGTATAGATTGTGGCAAATGGACATTTTAATTAAAAACCACACTAGCAGAAATGCCATTTGCTATTGCCTAAAATTTTTAGAAAAAGGTCTCACCACTTTATCTTGCTACTAACTACTCTTGAGAAAATACCTGAGGGACTTTTAGTCATCAGCACATCATGGATACAGATGCATATTCATGGTTTTTGATCCACTAGGTAATCACAGGTGCTGTTTGTTCATTTTTGTAATAGCCTTGTCATCAGAGACCAGCCTCTCACATTATTCCTTCCCATCCTTTAACTCTTACGTTATTTCCACTGGCCACCTTTGTTGTCCCCTGATCCTTAAAAGGGCTGATATAGATGTTCCAAAGTTGGTGTTTGTCTCTATATATTGTTTTAGATGACTTGAGCTGAAGGATTTGTTCATGTAAGATTTTTGGTCACAGCCTCCCCTCCCCCTGCTGGTTTCCATTCTTCTCCTAGTTGATTCTCTTTTCTGCTTTACCATTACATGGATTCTGTTATCTATCATTCTTTATTCTCCACTCAACTTATGCTCCCTTCCTCTCTATATCACACCCATTTGCAAGTTTGAGGGATCACCACAAAAATGAGGCTTTAATTTTCTCTCTCTCCTTCACACACACACACACACACACACACACACGCACGCACGCACGCACGCGCGCACACACACACACACACACACACTGACACATATGTATAAATATGCTTTAAAGATGTTATACTTTGTTAGATAACCTAAAATATTAATAAACTTTAAACTAAATGCAGTAGCCTATTTTCTCAAAGAAATGACATGTACTTTGCATTGAGTTTTGAAGTCATTATAGTTCCTTTTGCCTTGGGCATGTATTACACCAGGAAACTTGTTTCTCTCAAAACATACTACTTTTCATTGTGCATAAAATAAACTGCTTGGGATCAGAGTCAAGAAGTCTGTAACAGTCAGGCTAACTAAGTAATGATGAACTGTGTTTCCTCTTCACTTCTAGAGGATGATTTCTCTGCATTTGCAGGGATTGCCATAGCTGGCAACAAGTCTAAGGTCCAAGACCTCAGGGGAGGGTAGAAAGTTTTCTTTAAATAGAAATTAAGGGTTCATGAAACCCCTCACAGTATTCATGACCATAAGTGAGCATGAAATTAACACAAATTTTAACCTGTATTATAGACCAAATCATTGAACAATTATCAGATGTTTACTAAGCTTCAAAGTATGAGGAACAAAATACTCAGAAAAACAGCTCTGCCACTTTATTCACATAGACCCAGTGTATGGATAGCTTATAAAGGGAAATAAAATGCCTGTCAATTGTTCTCCAAGCCAGAACAGTAAGATTTTGCTTGCAACCTCTCAGGTAGGAAAATACAAAAAAAAATCAAGGAGAGAGAGAGAGGGAGGGTGTAAATGTTCTGCTGGATGCATCTTGCCAGGGAGGCCAAATGTACTTTACAGTTGCTCAGATTCCAGGATGGTCACACCCATTTAGAACTCACCTTCCAAACCAATCTGAGTGGAGTCATTTTATCCAACTACACCACTCTTGATTATATGCATGAAGGGATTGTAAGTCAACACACCCTGGATACAGTAGCACATTCATTTATAGATCCACCAGGTAATGACAGTTGCTGTGTGTTCATGTGTGCAACAGATATGTCATGTACAGTGGCCAGCCTCTCTCACCACGTACTTCCCCATTCTCTGGCTCTTTCATTTCTTCACTGCTTCCCCTTTTGTGTTGTTTCTGGAGATCTTCAAGGGGCTGATGTAGATTTGGTAAGTTGCCAGTTTGTGGGAGGAATTAGGGAGATAAGTCAGTTTTGAATATGGTCAAAATAAATTGTATGCATGTATGATATGTATATTCTGTCTATATGAAAGCAGAAGGCCATCTGGTACAAAGGAAGCTTTTATTTATAGAAACAGAAAGAGCAGCTTTCCTAAAATTATACATGACCAGTCAATTACAAAAATGAACCACTAGCAAGCTTTAACATTTCAAGTACAATTTTGATTTATAGTTCTCTCAAGCAGAAATTTAAAACTTTTAAACATAAATGTAGCCATCAATATAACACTAACCATCCTAATGAATGAGGAGATCATTAAAGATGGCTGTACCTCCTTAACCTTATGCCAAAATGGGTAGTCAATTGGAGGGCCTTCTCTGCTTTGCTATCATAATTACACATACATTTTTGGGGAAGGCACTGGTGAATCTGTGTGTGAGTCTTGTAGACTTCAGGATCTTCCTGATACATGTGAGGTTTTGTTTACTACCTGAATCTTAATAATTCCTCTTCCAATAGGCTTTGATTGAATGAGTTAATTTTTCAGGAGAACAGTAATAGAAATATGGGAGAAGCAGGTGGTGTCTTACCTGAGTCACATTTTAGAAAATAGTTTTCAATAGAGAAGTCTATATTGAAAGATTAAGGAAAGACATGGATTCATCAGATGCCTCTGATGAAAGAAGATTTTGACAAAGAGCATTTTGGACACACAGAACAGTATATGCTAAAACCCAGTGTTAAGTGTGGGCTTCTGAAAGGGTATCAGCAGTAGTCAAAAGTCAAAATAGGAAAATGGGTGTGATAATGATCAAAATATAGATAAATATAAGAAAATGTCATGAGAATCAATGTGTTGTATAACATTATTACATATTAATAATATATACCAATAAAAATAATCAGCCTCTTGCTGATATGGAATTCAAGTAGGTCCAGAAAATACAGCTAGTTAGGCATTACAGGTTGACATAAATGAAAAAGATTAAATAGAAGGTATATTGATTTATGTCCAAAGGAAAAGTGATAACCATAATATTTTTAAATAAAGAAAATCCACATTCAGTTCCATGCTGGAATAATGATGGATGGACCTGAAGTTAGAGACCTCTGCCCTATGATTCCAGCAATTGTTTCATTGCGTTTGTTAGTTTTTGCTGCCAAAAGGGCTGTGTTCTCCACAGAAGAATTCTTCATAACTTCCTTTACAACTCATGTCCTATAGACAGTCTTTGTTCTCAACTTATCATTTCATAACTCCCATGTAAACACTGGTATCTGTAGTTAGTTCCTGAGGCTTCTGGAAATTGGGCATGATCAATTGTTGTTTGAATGTCCCCTGAACAAATTCTGTGTATGTCACCTCCATCATTTCTTTTCTTTCATGTTCCTAGAAAGAGGTAAATGTTAAGTGATGTTGTATGCACATGTTATTACAGAGCATGAGGGAATCCAGGCCTCATCGTATATGGAAGAGGGTGGGTACATGAGGGCCTACTTGTTGCATGTCCTTCTTGGTCATAGATGGCTGCATTTTTAGGGACAGAAGTAATTAGTAACATCTAAGAAAGCATTACTGCAAGTTCATTTCAAATACCAATGTATTAATGAGAGATATGGTAAAACCCAAGTTGGCTCTTCTTACCCAGAGCAGAGTCAGCTGTTCTGCATCTCTGTGTTCTAAGCTCCATCTCATCATATTGCTACACTACTAGTTCTCTCTTCAGTGTTCCTTCTCTTTCTTTCATAAAACTTCTCCTGGATATTAGCCTGCTTTGAATGTGAATATACAGTAGAGGTCTAGTCCCTAGTCTGAGGGCTGAGGGAAAGAACAAGGGCTTATCTTTTCTATTGGTAGAGCCCTGCTTCAGTGACCCTGTCCTGAGCTAAGTAAATGAAGACCACACACCTGCATTTCTCTAGGCTCAGTTTCTCATGCTACTCAGATGACACTCACTGACTCCTTCCCGATACTTATTCCTTTTGGCAGAGCACCGAGAATGAATGATGAACATGAGGAAGACAGCCATCATCAAAAATGACACTCTAATCAGAATATGCAGGAGTCCGTGATTATCTGCTGAAAGATATAAATCCAATAAGTTGTCAGCCTTAGGACTAGTGTATTAAATTGCCTAATATTTAATGATAGAAGGATAAGTAATAGACTATTAATTTTTAGAACAAGATTCTTGAAGAAGAACTGCTCTTATTCAGCTAAATGCACACAGTGTTAAAGTGACTCCTAATGGCTTTTCTTTAGACTACTATATTAATGTGTCACTCAGGGAAGTTTCTATTTGCAATAGGTGATCAGTACAGATACCCACAACTTGCTAAACTGCAGAAAATAAAACACTGTGGAATGCTTGGCTCTAACTGGGACATTTACACCACTCCCACTTCTACAAATCTTCAATGTTCATTGTGGAAAACAGTTGGGTCAAAATTAGCTAAATGAGCTTGATTATAATTACCAAGAAGACTGTGTTGTGAACACAGGAAGACTGTAGTGGTATTTTGAAGAGGGATTCCCTTTGTATGCTGTGAATACCATTGGTTAATAAAGAAGCTGTTTTGGGCCTGTGATAGGGTAGACCAGAGTTGATGGGGGGAGGACTAAATGAAGGTGGGGAGAAATAATGCAGAGTCAGAGAGAAACCATGTAACCTTGCCAGACACAGGTGCTGGAAACTTTACCCAGGAAGCAACAGCCTCGTGGTGATATACAGATTACTAGAACTGGGTTCAATTAAGATATAAGAGTTAGTCAATAAGAATCTAGAGCTAATGGGCCATGTAGTGATTTAATTAATAGTTTCTGTGTGATTATTTCGAATGGCTGGGAAACAAACAAGTGGCTTTCCTACAATAACATTTCATTTGTAATTAATAAGTAAAGTTTGCCTGAAGATCAGAGAGTAAAACAGCCCCACTGGTCAGCCTTACAGACCAGGCAGTGGTAACACACACCTTTAATTCCAGTAATCACATTAGTTTGTCATAGAAACATGGTGGTGCACGCTTTTAATCCTAGTGGTGCATGCCTTTATTCCCAGCCCTGGAGAGGATTATAAAATGGGAGAAGACAGCTCTCAGACATAGTCTCATTCTGAGATTCATGGAGGCAGGATCACCATTTTGGACTAGGTTAAGGTAAGAGTCAGTGGCTGGCTGCTTTGCTTTTCTGACCCTCAGGTTGAACCACAATTTCTATCTCTGAGTTGTTATTAATCATGCCTCATAGGAAAGTTGCATGTTTGTACTCAAAAGCAGTTGTGACAGCATGCACAAGATCAGTAGATGCTCAAGCCAGACCAAATCCCATCATGCAGTGGGGATGTGGACATCAAGTCCCACTTTTAGTCAAGGAGATATAGGCAAACAATAACTGCTGGGAAAATTAGTTTCAAGAGTGTTGCTACAAGTAAGGTGGCCATGCGCCACTGGTAGGTCACACATCCATGAATATATGGGCATCACAAATTGAACTTCATGGATAAAAAATATAACAGAGTTTGGTAGGTAGGTCCAAGAGGAGTTGAGAAAGTGAGTGAATATGATCAAACACATTGTTTAAAATTATCAAAGAAATAATACGTATAAAATTATGAAGAATAAGAAACTAGATGGCATATGTCATATTACTATGTGTTCTGTGTTTTAGCATATAAAATTCTCATAGTAAATATAATATGTATTATATATATGATATCAATGGCAGTAAGGAGGATCCTTTCAAAACACCCCAGGCTCTGTTACTATCTGCACTACAAAATGTTTTCTGATTATTCTTTAGCTATATGTTCCTATGGCTTCAGAGTATAAAATCCTGAGCAGACAGTCCTTCACCTTGCATGAAGAATTGTGCAGGAATACACACACACACACACACACACACACACACACACACACACACATATATAAAACAGCAGGACTCATGGCAATGCTTCTTTCAAACTTCCTATGGGATTTTTCTCTCCATAATCAGTAGGATGCTTTTCACACATAGCTTTAGGATTTTATTAGTCTCAAAACATGAGATACTGATGAGGTTTTCTTACCTATGACAGGAAGGTAAAATGGGTCACTTGGGGATGACCACACATTGCAGGAGTTCCTGAAAGAGCCATAGCATCTATAGTTCTCTTCCTGTATCACAGGATCAAGAAGGAAGTTGGCCTGGAATGTTCCATTGTGACTCTGAACTGCAGGCAGTCCAAGTACCTGAGGTACCCCTTTCCTGGACAGATGGAACATATCAAAATGATGGTCAGAGGTGCAGGACAAGGTCATGTTCTCTCCTGGCATCACCACAGGGCCCATCATGGCTGACAGAGTCGGTTTCTTGTATAAACCTGGAAGGAAAGGGGCAGAGACAGTTAGAGGGGCAGTTCCTTATCAGTGTGCTCCTTAGTGTTCCAGTTTCCTGCTTCCATTTCTGTGATCTCTCTCTCTCTTTTTCTATATTTCTCCCTGCCTTTCTATTCCTCTTCTTCAATCTTATCTTACTGTGTCTCTGACTTCACTGTGTTACATAAGCATTCTTTCCACCATTTTGCTTTTTGAGAGTTTCTTTGTCTACTTGCATTCATTGGGTCATGACCTGTGTCTTTTAGAAGTTTTTTATTAATATATTTTAATAGTATTTATTAATTGGCTTGATTACAAAATACGTTTACATACAATGTATTTTGTTCATTTTTACAAACCTTTTTGCTTTCTTAAAGTAAAACACAGTTTCTTATTTCATGCCCTCTTTGTCTTTTGTTGTTTATATATATATATATTTATGATGGTGTATTATTTATCATATTAACACTAGTATTTTATATTGTTCTTCAGCTTCTTCTGATTCACTTCTCTTTCCCATTTGTTCTTTCTTATACCTTCAGGTTTTCCAAATGTTTTTTTTTCAATCAAAGGGTTTAATTAGAGGTACTTATTATTTTGTTTTAATTGGGACATAAAGCAATGGACTTCATTAAGACATCATCATACAGTCCATTCTGTTCATTTTCTTCCCACCCTATTCCTGTATGTCACGTTTGCTTGTTCTTCCTGGCATTGACCCTTCTATGGCATATGCTTTCCTCCTATTTTCCCATCCCTCTTTGTTAATCTCCTTCCCTTTCTCATGGTTTGTTACCAATTTTATGACCTATAACTCCCTCTTTCTATGTATATTAAAAATGTAGAATCTGACTTCATTCTATGTAATTCATTTTCTATCATGTCTCTTTCTCTGTATCTGTGTTAATGAATCTCTCTTTTCAAAGGACAGAATATTCCATAAATGTGTTTATTTCCCTTGTACAGGGGCCATGATGATCTTTCCTCCTTTGTAATATATTTACTGCTCAAGTGTAACCTATCATCTGCCTCCCTATCTCTGCTTTGAAATATCCAATATTTGCCATTATTTCTTTATCTTTCAAGTATTTCATTCAACCTTAAAAGTTTTTGCAGGCTTTCTCTTTGCACACATGCAATGCTTACTATTTCCTCAACCCTTTCTATCTCTGAGTCTTTTTCTCAGTCTCCCTGCCTGATGTATTATTTGTATTTATTTCCATTTATCTGTATTATTTGTGTCTGTGTATCCCAGGCAGAACCACTATAGGATTTCTTTTACCCATCCTAGATGACTTTGTTTGGAACATGGGCTAACAAGAATTTGGAAATGTAGAGAACAGAGAGCGACTGGTGGTCTGCTCAATTTTCAGGGTCATGCTATCCTTGGATGAATACCCAGACAACCACAAGAATGGAAGAACAGCCAAACTAGATAGAAATTTTATGGGTGTGATCTGTACCAAGACCTCAGATCTCATGAAGAACCAACCACACTCAACACATAAACTTGGCTAAGACACACAATAATGTCTATGTCTTCAGAAGATGTCTTGTAGAGGTAGAAAGTAAACAAAATTCTGAATTGTTGAGGACATTGAATATTAGTAGAAGGGTGATATTGTCACGTCAAGCTTATCAAGTTACTCCTTTCTCTTTACATCTGGTTATGGATTCTTTGACTTTCCTACATCTGTGCTTTACATTATAACTAATGATCTTTTCTTGTGTTTCCATTTTCATTGTCTATGTCAGTAATATACTTCCACAGGCTGCCTTTCTCTAAGTTTCCAACCCTCCTATTTCCCACAACCTCCCAGGACTTCTAGTCTATGGAATAACTATTCTGCATCACAGAGAGGATTAGGACCAAGTAGCACCTTCTTACCTGTGATCTTTATGTCAACAGAGTCACTGGATTCAGACCACTCATATGGTGTTTGGTGGTAAGAACCATAGCATGTGTAAGTCCCAGCATGGTCAGGTGTCACAGGACCTATTGGGAAGTTGGCATGGGATCCCCCACGATGAGATTCTGCAGAGAGCTGGAAAGAGTCCTTGATTACTCCCATTCTATGTGAAGTCAAAGTGAAAGTGTCAAACATAATCTCTGAATGGCACTTCAGTGTCATCTTCTTTCCTAATTTTACCAGGGGAGTTGGTAGGGCTAAAAGAAAAGGCTTCCTGTAGATTCCTAGGAATAAAAAGATTGTGAATATGAACCTGCTATCAATCTATGTATCCCAGAATTCCTATGCTATTATCCTCCTTAATATGTTCTTCCTGTTAGTGTTTTAGTGTCCTGTCCTTTTCTGTTTATATGTCTGCTTTGTACACAGATTCCCCTATCTTTCTCTGATTATTTCCCACTTATTTGGCCCTGGTAGCAGCACAATATTTTCCAACTGACTTATTGTGAGAATGTGTCATTTGAACCTGTCTACCATAGCCGCTGCTGTCCCTTCTTAAGTTCAGGGAATGCAGAAAACATGGCAAGGATTTTGACATGCTCCTTCATGAGTCATTTCTAGCTACCTTTGCCAAGTATAATCCTTGACAAGATAAGAGAATCAGTAGTGAAGGTAGGTATCAGGCAGATACTTCTGACCTCTATGGTTCAAACTTCTCTAAGGCATTCCTGATCTAGAATCATTTGCATTGTTTCCTTCTAACATGTTGATGCATTACCTTCCTTACTTTAATATTTTCTGTACATCCTTTCCCCAGCTTTTAAGTTGTCCCTAATATGGGTCTCTGTATTAGTACCAGTCACTACAATACAATTATTACAAATGTGATTCTTAAAGAGAACACAAGTGTTCTTGTGGCCAGAAATCAGAAACAAGATCAGGTAGCATAAATCAATTTTCTGCAGGGATATGTTACTGCTCAAATCACTAGAAAGGAATCCATTTCTTTTTGCCTTCCATTTTTTTTAGAGGCCCAGTGAATTTCTTGGCACTTGGAAACTTCCTCAACTATCAGAGTTAGAAGTAGGATGTCCCCCTGACAATGCTTTGTACTGCAAACAAGTGAAGCAACTGCATTTTACTTATTCTATTTTATCAACACTTGTGGTTCTGCAGAGTCAGGATAATTGAGGATATTTTCCCATCCTGGTGCCATCTTGTTGATAATGAGTTCCATCTTCAGGCCCAAATTTTTCTTGTTTTATTCAAGACTCATTAAGCTTCAGGGAAAAGAATATACATGTCCTTGGGTATATTGTTATGCTCATCATAGTCTCGAGTTCCTTGTGTTGAATATTCCTTTATAATTCTGAGACTCTGACTGTTTTACAAATTCTAAGGTGGGGATAGTTGGTGGAATGAAAATACACAACAAATGATGTGGAAAACAAATATGATCTCTGACCTGAAATTATGATCTTCAGAGGGTCACTGTATGATGAAAGTTCATCATGGTATTGATGTTTATAATTATAGCATCTGTAGGTTCCTGCATATGCTGGAGTCACAGGTCCCAAGAGAAGGCTCTTCTGGAATATTTTGTTATGGAACTGAGGAATAGGAGTTCCATGTTCTTTGTACAGCTTGAATTTATTAGACTCACTGTGAGTGTCACAAGTAAGAGTCACATACTGTCCCTGAGAAACAACATGGCTTGGCCAGGCAGACAGTGAAGATTTGTTACTAATTCCTGTAGAAAGATACCCAGAGTAAAATATTTAGTGATCCGCCTTCATTCCTGAGAGGTGAACCTCCAAATTTTACTTCTTCAGGGTTCATTGTTTGATACTTTTCTCTGAACTGAAACATTCGTTTCAGTATTAGAGCTTCAAAGGCTCAAGGGACTCAAGAGGTAAGCAAACATAAATGTATTAAAGAGCTGAAACTTGCAAGGTTCACCAGTGGCCCTTCCCACTCTATAGAAACTGTAAGTTAGTTTTCCTGCTGAATTCTAAAAGGAATTGCCAGCAAGTTGTGCAGGGAGCTCCATGGTTTTGGCTTTCATGATAATCACCCATATTGAGGTGCGCTTTCAGTAATGCTTTTGAGTCGTCCCTTGTTTCTGCAAATAAACCCTTATCCATACTGCTACTAGTAATCTCAGCAGACTCACAGGTTCAAAGGTTTGGACATTGATATAATCATTATTTGGTCTGTCCTGGGTTTCCTTTATGGGGTGACCATAACTGCATGTGTTGTGTCTTCCCAAGGGAAGTCTCAAACTAAATAGGTTCATTTTCATGGAATGTATGCCCCCAAATCACTATAAACATATGGAGTATCTTTCTATGCTAATATTTGTTAATTGAGAATTTTGAGTAAGTATTAAATAATGAAGTAGATTTGATCATGAAAAAATGAAATCTAAAAAGAAATTATATCAGATGAGTAGAGGGAAAACTCATTTATTAGATCACAGATAGGAATTATGGCCACTAAGTTAAAGAAAAAGGAATGCTGTTCACTCACCTTCAGTGACTCTAGAAATCTAACAATACTGGGTTATAAATACACTGTGAATGTTCCAGACCTCAGGAGCGAGGGGAGTCTGCCCTTAGGACCACAGAACTGAGAAAATTGACAACAAAACAGTAGGCATGAGTCCTTTGTACTACTCTGCCCCTTATGTACTCTTGTACAGAGCTGCATTCACAGAAGTCACACCAGATCATGTTTCTACACTGACAAGTAAGAGGCAGACATATAGTTTCTCAACCATTTCAAGGCTCTTTCCTTTTGCATGTGAAATATTGAGAGAATAACATTGTTCTGCTTCTTTGGATGCTTGGTGATAAAAAGTATTTGGACTCCTGATTGTCAGCAAATGAATCTTGGTCATTCTTCCCTATCCACTTGGTAGATGTATTTGAGAAAAGAGACAGTTGCAAAACACTGCAGTGAAGACAATGTATACTCCTAACAGTGTGGGCATCTTGTAACACTGCTCAAATAGATGCTTTTAAGTACCCCAGTGAAAAATTGTCCCTCATCATGGACTGTGGCCAGTAACTTACTGTACCAGGAAGCTCAGCTCCCCAAAGCATCTGATCTCAAAACATTGAGGAGGCAAGGTAGTGAAACATGGAAAACTGACACCAATGTCATCCTGTCCAGGGTTGCAACCAGTTTACCCAAATCCATTCTCAGGTGAGAATTAATAGTAAAGGTTTATTAACCTCTACAGAACATCTGCATGTGACAGAGGTGAGGGTTCTCTTCAATATGAAGGTGTCTGTGTATGAACTTGCACATGACAATCAAAGAAATCAAACATGCCAGAGAACAATGCTGAGGCTCTGGAAGTAAATACAGAGGAAAGGAAGATCTGTGAAGCCCACAACAGATAATTCACTGCAGTATTTCTAAAACAGTGACAGAATTATAAGATACCATGAGTAAAGATTGGTAACTAGAACAAGACATTAGAGAGATGTTGCATTTTTTATGGTCTGTGTAACATCACTCAGTATATTTTCTAAGTCCATGTATTTTTTGAACATATCATGGTTTCATTCTTACTTACCACTGAAAAGTATTATAGAGTGTACATATGAGACATTTTTGTTATCTCTTCATCAGCTGAAAGACATTCATGTTGTTTGTTTTTCATAGACATTGAGCATAGAGCATCAAGAAACTTGATTGGGCAATTATCCATGGCATAGAATATCAAGTTCCTCAGATATATTCAAACAGATAGAAATGATGCAAATATAGTACTCATATATGAAAGTCTCAAGAAATTAAATTTAAAAGAAATAGTCTTTTTATAAAAGAATAAGAGGGTGTCTAACCATATAAAATCAAACTTTATATTATTTTATAAAGTTTGGAAATAAATCATTAAACAACAGAAAAAAATTGGTAACATTCATCTTAATTAAAGCATGCAACTACTGAATTTGACATGTTTGTGGATCAGCTTGATGTCTAAGGAGGTATAGGCTGTTGCTGCTATGCCTGACTTTCTGGTTTCCATCGCTGGACCCATGTGGTGAAGAGAAAAATCTGATTTCAGAAGGTTGTCCTCTGACATACACACTTGTGCTATAGCAAAAGTACACCCAAGACCCAATACACACAGATGCACACACACACACAGATTCAAATGTATAAGCATACACAAAACATGAGTGTATATGTCTGTGGGTGCATGCCAAATAAATGCAAATTTTTAAAAAGTTAATCGAATGTTTTAAAATTACATGTGATAAAATAGGAAAATGAGTGTTCTTAGATCAGGCATTATATAATCTGATGTACTGGTAGAATGAATATACAATGAAGAAGAATGACAGGATTTTTTTTGATACCATCTCAATACCAAATAATTAGTCACAAAAATAAGAAAAGAATAAAGTAACACAGTGATTTCCTTGTGTGTATAGAGGTATGGAACTAGGATGAGTTTAGGCATGACAGTTAATGTAATTAAAATAAATTGCATAAAATTATCAAAGAATTAGCAAAACAATAAAAAAAGACAAGAATAACAGCTAATAAACATAAGCAGAAAAACTGTAGAGAAGAGAGTATAGAAAACTCTTAAACCTGGAGTAAAATGACCATGATCAAGTCCAAGAAGGTCATGGAACACAAAAGAAATTTATCTCAAATGATCATGATCTCAGAACGTATTGCTATTGTAAGAGATTCTGAAATCAGAATGATAAGAGAAGCAAAGAACACATGAGGGACTTCAAATATAGGCAATGGCTGAGTTCTGAGCAAAGACCTACAAGCCACAAGAGACCAGCATGGTGTAATCAATGAAATGAGTGTAACAAAGAAAAAGTCTGCTCTACATGTCAGCAACACTGTTATTTAGAAATACAGATTATGAATTTTTTTTAAAAAAAATAGTAGCAAACAGAGTCAACAACCATAAGCCCTTGAGATATTGTGGAGTCCTTCAAGCTGAAAGGGAAGTCTGCTAATGAGAAGCATGAGAATATCTTCATGTAGAGAATGTAGAAGTAGCTCACTAAAAGCAAGCCAAAATAAGAGGCTGCAATATTTTGCAGGTGGTACACAAATTCTTTCTGTAGCATTCGTGTTTGAGGACAAAAATAATAACTTCAGTCATTTGTCAAGTGAAAAATGTATTTTAAAGTCATAAATTTTAACAAAATCTCAAAGTATGTGGGGGTGACCAGTTGAGATATAGCAAAGGAGAAGTTTATTTTTAATTAAAAATGTTTATTCTCCAAGTATTATGGCACACTCTTCCAATCTTAGCATTTGGGTGGCAAAAACAGGCAAATATCTGAGTTAACGGGCATCCTGCTCTACAAAGTGTGCTCTAGAAGAGTCAGGGCCACACAGAAAAAAAACCTGTGTTGAAAAATCAAAAAAAAGTTTATCTGATTAAAGATGATGTCTAACTCAATCAAGGGCAGTGTCTGAGAGTATCTCAGAGAGAACTGGGAGGCAGGTTTCTAGCGTCCAAACTTCAAAGTTCAGAAAACTTACCAAAGAGTCCCTAACGGAAACCACTCTCCAAAACCTCATAATGAAGGCTCTACTGCTAGAGTGAAATTTATCTATTCGATGGTTTTAAGGATGGACTCACCTAGTTTTGCCAACGGAGTCAGGAGTAGGAAGAAGCCTAGAAAGAAAAACTCATGATGGATGATCTATCTCCTTCCAATAACCTGGTGATCTTAACTCCCCATCCCTGTTGGGCCTTTGTACAGCAGAACCAGAGTTCACGTTTTTGTCGTTATTGTTGCTTTTGAGACAGGGTTTCTCTGTGTAACATTCCCTAGCTATCTTGGAGCTAGCTCTTGTACACTAGCCTGGCCTCAAACTCACAGAGATCTGCCTGCCTCTGCCTCCCCAGTGCTGGGATTAAAGGTGTGTACTACCATTGTCTAGCCCAGAGGTCACTTTTAAAAATGAACTTATGCGCCATTATCTACCAGGAAAGCCAGAGTTTCTGTCGTGGATGGGTCCAGCCTCCCAGGAGGAGATTTCCACCCTGTTTTTCCACACCCTTTATTCCCAGCAGGACTCACCAATAGACACAAGGTTTAGGAGCACGGACAGCATGGTGCTGATTCAGTTGGCCAGGGGCAGAGCCAGAATAAAGCTTACAGGATGTCGTGAGTGGCTTGAAGTATCTATCTAACCACAACACAGAAAGCTGACTAACAGAGCACATCCGCTTTCACCCTGTGTTTATTAATTTTTTCCAGACATGGTTTCTCTGTAGCCTTGGCTAGCTGGGAATGCATTTTGTGAATAGGTTGATTTTGAATTCATAGATTACCTGAATTTAATCCAAGTGCTTGGATTAAAGATGTGTTTCCCCATAGGTGGGTTCACAAACACTCCCTCTTTTACCATAGTTATTATGGATCACAGCTTCTTGGAAATTGTTCAGATTATAGATCCTCAGTCACAACATGTACCATGACTACAACTGAGCTGCATCCTGGGCCCAACACCTTTTATTCAAATAATCAATTTGATTATTATACTAAAAGTTTGCATGTTGTTACTTTTTAAATCTGAGACCCAATGCTTCCTCTGGTGTCCTGTGAAAAATGTCAGCAGTCCTAATGTCTCTATCAAGATGATTCTGCTGGTAATAATGCTGTGTTGGGTTATAATCATTCAATAATTTGCTTGATTAGTTTTTAGAATAACAAAATTCCACTTCTTTTCAAAATCAAAGAAATAAAGCAAGTATATTTTTGCTTTAAGTGAAATTTATTTTAAAATGTAGCATTCATATTCTTTAAAATTGTTTTATATGTTAATATGCACATGTGGATTGTGGTGCTTTGTTAGGCCAGAAGAGGGCACTGAGGAGATACCCTGGAGCTGGTGTCACAAGCAATTGTGAGCCTCCTGGTGTTGGCATAGGGAACTAAATTGTGTCCTTTGCAAGAGCAGAACTGACTCTTTACCACTGAGCCCTACACCCTTACAATTCTTTACCCCAAACTCTAGATATACATTTATGATATTGTGCTATTTCATTTCATTGCTGAATGGTTAAAATTTCTGAGTATGTTTAATGTTGAATATGTTCAATTTGACAAGTTGTTTTATTTTTTTCAGATTTTTTTATTTTACA